ATAATAACAGCTTCCCTTCTTTAACATTTCCACCACTTTTCAGCTCGATGGGACTAGGTGAGAAGATTAAAATGTGTTTCTTTAAGATAGCGACCATGGAAGCACAGTCCCGCTACCTCGCGTCCCGTCCCGTCACGCCGCGTCCTGTCACGTCATGTCGCTCCCCGTCCCGTGACGTCGCGTCTCGTCCCGTCCCATCACGCCGTTTCCGTCCCGTCACGTCGCGTCCCGTCCCATAACGTCACTTCCGCCCTGTCGCGTCGCGCACAGTCCCGTTACGTCCCGTCCCGTCACGCCGCGTCCTGTCACGTTATGTCGCTCCCCGTTCCGTGCCCCCACGTCGCGTCCGTCCCGCCCCGCCTCGCCCAGTTCCGAATCAACATCGAGTTTAAAACCTTTAACAGATTTGGATTTTATTCACCTCATAGTATCATAAAATCACGTTCTACACCTGATTAGATTCTGCGTTTCTCAGAAGTGTGGAGGCATTTATTTCTTATCGACATTTTCTAGTTTGATAAACATTTGTTCCCCTATCCAATAATTTCTTAAAGACGAATCGCTCTTTATCAGGAGAAGCAAATTATTCATGATTCCAACATACTTTCGAAATTTCGTGCCGAGACAGAATTAATCAAAGCGTCCGAGTGACGATGACTACAACGCGTCTTACAAAACAATAGCTTTACCACGAACCCTCTTTAATATCTATTCACACAAGCACATCAATTCATTAACAACGATACTTAAGATATGTATCCCTCGCTGGCAGTCTCTTAACGAGATCATTAAAGACAAGCCAGTAGGATACCCCAGTACAATTAAGAGTGAAATAACGTACACAGAAACGATACCATATATCTGCTTCGTCCTCAGACAGATTTTTGAGATTCGGATTCTAGTTCTGGACGACTCAATATTTTTTCTGTTTGCAAATTTATGACACACTATATCTGTTATAGCATTGGGACTCAACACAAATTTAGATCTGGCGTTCTGAAGTCGGCTTTAAAGAATCATACAAAAATTACTGATGATTCGACAGTGATGCTAAACGCCTAAATTTTAAAACCAATGAAGCCACAGAGGAAAATTGTTGAATATCATTAGAATTTAGATGAAGAAGGAGCTATAATCCCGTGATGTTTTTGTAACTCAACACGCTTCTATATTGAACGATTCCGAAGTCTAAGAGTATATTTTCAACAGTGCTGCTATTCAGATGAATTAAAACACATTCAAACCAACATTTTAATTCTTGTCACATGAACTAGTTGAAATAGCTTCACATTCGTCACGAAGGCTATAACGACGCTATATATATATCACTGATGGTCAGGGTATCCTGGCTGGAGATATCTCTCACACTAATACCCTTCACACAGTAATACCCTTCAGGCAAGCCCGTGAAAGCCGAATAACTTGCACTACAACGGTATAAATCCAGATGTATTACAGATTCGGAACAATAGTTGACGCTTGAGAGCAGAGTGTCAACTGAGTGCTGATCTACAGTATTTACATCCGATGTACGTCAGTATCCGCCAATGGATTAAAGCATCCCAGTTAGTTACAGAAGTGGAACGTTGTGATCGGTCAGATCACATATAAGGGATTCATTTGTCTTATAGTAAGAAGTGATAAGACAAACTGGACTAGCATTATTTCCTAAAACCTGAGGTGAGTTCTTTACTGAGCTGTTTCTTTTTCAAACACGCCGACGACAGATTTTCTAAATGTTGATATAATGATTGAAAGTTTTTATGTATAATGCAGTGTATATATACCATAAAATTAACCTGGATTTTTTTCTAAATATACTTATTAAAAAAAGTTCCAATATTCAAGATGATACACTTTCTGAATCAATAATAACGAACGTATGTAGCTATAATAATACAAACAAATGTGTAAAAACTTTATGCAAGTCACACAATACTTTTTTCACGTGCGTTCCGGTAATCGAACACCGGACATGTAGACGAAAGTCAAGTTCGTTACCTGTGAGTTATATGTAGAAGGTGGTCGAGGTGGTTAGTGTTTTATTTTAATCCTACTTCAATTTCTATTACGAGTACGGATTGTGAGTGACATTTTTCTACAAATGACGGATTTGAAATCGATCTGATGCTATGGACAAATATTTCTATTATTCATACTCTACCTGAAGATATGCAACATAATGATGTTTTTAAACTCTGCCTAAATCTATAAATTTGATTTTTTTCTAAATCCATACATTTTCGTATATCTCTTATTATTTTTTTTTCCGTGTTTTGGTGGAGACTTGACGTCGTTCTTTATTGTACATATCCTCCTGAATTTTTCAACAATATAATAATTAGTAAACGTGTGAAATTTCCGCCAAAATCAACGGATATTATCAGTTTAACAGCATATTCCATTGAATTAGGAAACTAAACATTAAATAATTCTAGCACATTTGCTTTGCTGTATCTATTATACTAATCACATCTAACGTAGCAATAATATCAACTCCATATTATTACCATATATACACACAACATGGAAGACAAAATCCACAAAATCAAGTTACAAGAATATGAACGATAATACAATTTACATCAAACCTACACTAACAGTACGTTATTTGATGAAAATGTTGAAAATCAGATTTTCTGGGATATTCAACAATAAAGCAGCGTGAGGATATAGCGTACGGAATATTTCACAGTGAATATTTCTAATGAACAATTATCGTATGAACAACAACAGGAAAGTAACACTACTTTATGGTGAGATCAAGTTATCATAGTCTATAAAATTCTTATATTATCAATGATCTAGGAATAATACCATTAATCAACTCAGGTAAAATTGTTGCTGTGGTTAACTGCCAAACTTTGTATACATTTAGTTTCATTCGAAGTTGAATGGCAGTGCTGTCATGGTAACCATTTGCGAGGTAAACAGCATCACAGAGTTGTTGCAGAGAACTCGGAAACTTGCGGTTAATTTTGGGAGATATTTCAAAGCCTTGGAAAGCTCCTGTAAGTTTGACGGCTGATTTTGACGTTTCAAAGTTGGCTGATAACATCCCAAATATGTTCAAGTTGTAACGAATCAGTTCATGTCGAGGATCAATCTAAAACCTACACCTGATTCTGCTGTTGAAAAGTCGTGCAGAACGTGAGTGATGTGCACTCGCGCATGAATAACATCGAAAGCGCCATGGTGTTTCAGGAGTGATTGATATACTGATCTTAAAAGTCTCTCCCGTTATCAAATGCCACTGCCACACGCAGGGGACAGATACCGCCTTTAAACCATATTACTTCCAACCCAATGCGATTCTTCGTCGCCTCCATACCATGCGACGCCATATTAGACAAAATAGGGACTCATTTGAAAATATAACATTGTTTCTATGTCATAAGGGCCCAATGACTGTTTGAGGAGCCACACGATTCCATCTCTACCATACGGGCGTAATGGAGATGTTTTGATGTTAACCCTATTTGATTTAAAAGAGAAGGAAGGCTTTTACGCTTTAATGATTTTGATAACTCTATTAATTTTGTAATGTACGCTATTATTTATTTCTTGCATTGCAAAACGTCATTTTGTTTGTTTTCATTTATAGATATTCGACAAGAATGAATGCTGATATCTCTTTCGGTCAGTATAAGCACAAGAAAAACCGAGTATAAGACTTCATTTCTCTTCTGTTCTGAATTATTATTATTATGACATTCTTAGCAGCCCGTCAACACATAAAGGGTCATTAGGGCCATCAAACGGTAAAACACACGGCGATCCAAAAAGAAATAATATTAAACAACCCAAAAGGTAAAAGACAAATGTTAAAAATCTTAAATGGGTATGTTAACACAAAATATTAAAATGGTACGTCATAGTCTATTATATAGACCAACATCTTTCAGGTAATGTAGAATTTTCACAAATCTCAACAGTTTCAAAAAAGGATTTAAGACTGTAATGTTACGATAAAAACATTCCCGAGTAGACGGAAGGTCATTGCAGTCGAATAAAAAATGTTTAAAGGTGAATGCCTCATCACATCCTATGCACCGAGGATTATCTTCGCCTTCCAACGTATATGAATGTGTAAGGTATGTATGACCCATCCGAAGGCGGGCAAGGACAACTTCGACTCGGTGGTTGTCTCTAAAGCCACTGGACTTTAAATGACACGAAATGGTTAGAAGACTCGATATTCTAGCAACGTTCATCTTCATAGGAAACATCAGAACCCTTCTTAACTCTTGATACCTAGCAGATGAACAAATTCCCAAAGTCAAAATAAAAGTCGCTTGAAAATATAGACACATCTTACCTGCTTGACTTGAATGTGAACCAAGGTCGTTCATTCCAGTATGCTGCTGTCCAAATATCACAACCTTATTCGACAATATGACCTTTAAACTGGGTGAAGGTTATTTATGTTCCCAAATCATATTTTACTTTCAATGCATCTTAAAACTCTAGCCCATGATCAAGGTGACCTTGAAAGTAGGAAAATTTCAGTGGGTGAAAAGAACCTAAAACTGAACATTTTTGTTTCTTATTTGAACACATTAGAAAATCGACTTCTCAGCATGCATCTTGTCTAATGGAATGTTATTAACTAAATGGGGAAAAAAGAATAGAAAGGATGGACAGTAATATAAAGAATTTTTTACACGGCACATACCTATACATTAAAAAAGGTTTAATTTTTTTCCAGGTGTGTTTTCAATATCAAGACAATAGACCAAAGGCATTCAGTAGAAATAATCATAGAGCTGTTGTGTGTGCTTAGTATTTAATTTGTCACTGATACTAAGGTAATCTAAACTGTTAAAGATAACTATAATAAAAGTTGATAAAAAAAAATTGGCCGAAATAAATGACAAAATAAAAATAGTGAAGTGAATTAGTCTTGCAGGTCAATAAATTACAAAAACAAAGTGTTAATACTGAATAATTTTATGATAATACTAAAATTTGTACTATTTTAATTGTCACTTTCAGACAGTATGCGGGATAGCACGTGCCTGGTCGTTTTTCTGTTGATCGTGGGGTTTACCTACTTACAAGCCGCTGTACCGAAGAGCAAACGCCAGGGAATGTTTGGGTTGTGCCAAGGGTGGGGAGCCGGCTGTTCTTTCAACTATCGATTTCAAAATCAGATTCAATCAAAAGCAGCCACCAAAAATACAGCGTCTGGTCCAAGAAATGTGAGATACGGTGTCCCTTCTTATTTATTTACATCAGGTATGTATTTTTTATCAACACGGCTTACATTTCTTCTTTCAGAATTTTGTACACAGTCAATGATCTTCCATTAACAGCACATTCGAGTTACTGACACTGCTGTAGATTTCGATGGGATGTTTCTTTCACTATTTTTAAAGATCAAATAAACTAACGGAAAACTGATAACTTGAGAATCAATTTCAACAGATCCGATGAAAATGAAAGTCTATTTCCTCACTTTCGTGTAAATAAGTTATGCTTTTGTTAAAACCATGAACATTTCAGTCGCCAAAACCATTTACAGTGTATCATTAATCATGTTAAAACCACGAAAATTTCAGTCACCAAAACCATTTACAGTGTATCATTAATCATTTGTTAAAACCACGAAAATTTCAGTCACCAAAACCATTTACAGTGTATCATTAATCATTTGTTAAAACCACGAAAATTTCAGTTACCAAAACCATTTATAGTGTATCATTAATCATTTGTTAAAACCACGAAAATTTCAGTCACCAAAACCATTTACAGTGTATCATTAATCATTTGTTAAAACCACGAAAATTTCAGTTACCAAAACCATTTATAGGGTATCATTAATCATTTGTTAAAACCACGAAAATTTCAGTTACCAAAACCATTTATAGGGTATCATTAATCAACTGAGCTATTCAAAATTTGATAGCAGCAACCAGCTCTCCCTCCAGTATGTTCATTAAAAATGTTAAACTGGAACAACGTTGCTCCAAATCTTACACTAATTGACTGACAAAGCCATGCATCGTTCTAATGTCTAGAGACAAATTTTGTTGGATATTATTCGATGACTTGTAAGCAGTATCACTTTGCGGTTAAACGTTGTCGCAACAGCCAGGAAAATATAAAAAATTAGTACTGTGAATAATGCCGCCACTGTTGGTCGCATTTCAAGTGCTATCACACTGAAATATCCATACTGTAGTATGGCACCAAACCTGGTCTTTGATAACATATCATTATTACCTTATTACTTTAATTTTCCACGGTATTTTCCCGGAAATGTTTAAATGATGTTTCTATTTGTCAGGTAATTCCTGGAATCCCATAGGCAAGCGATTGGCGTGGTTCACAGATATACCTTATCTACAGAGTCCTCTCATTTCTCGTCTTGCCTTTAAAATTCTCACAGGTAAATACTGAATCAAATAAAAGATTGCTGTGAACTATAACTAGTTACTGTATGTGACCTTGAAAACTGAATTTTAATAGTCTTACACCATCTTTAGATTAAATCTATGTAAAAATAAGGACTAAATTATCGGTCGAATGAGTTTAAATTTGGGTGAATTCATTACCGATAGTGACTACTTATTTTAGTCGACTCATACCTATCTATGCAATATTTAACATTTTTAAAATTCATATTCTAGAACCTTTACAACTGAATTATCTCTAATCAGCCTTTGAACAACCAGGCCTGGTCGTCAATTTCTTACTTTTCAAGTAGTCTTCATGTCAATCTTTGTTCCATTCATATACTTCTTTCGTTTATCATTAATCCTTTGAAAAATTCCGATCAGATTAAAACCCGATCTTTATTTTACTCTGCACAGGTATACTACATTTCATTAGGATCTTGATTAAGATCTCAAGATTAAGAAGTGTGACAATTGCCAGTTGTGAATATTCACACAAGAATTAAGAATGACGGAGTTGTGACCCTTTTTACCAGTTTGGATTTTCTTAAGTTGTCTCCTAGATTCCAGTAATTTAGGCATTTGACTCCTAGATTCCAGTAATTTAGGCATTTGACTCCTAGATTCCAGTAATTTAGGCATTTGACTCCTAGATTCCATTAATTTAGGCATTTAACATCACTGATTAGTTCATGAAGATTCAGACAGCTGTATGCTAAAGTTATATTCATGATTTTGGTTTTTGGTATTTCATTCCGATATTCTTTAGAAAGATAATATCAATTTCCGTCATTTGTGCATATTGAAACTGAACTTCAATAAACCTCGGGCAAAATATGTACAAAAGAAGGATTTACACAAGACTCCTGAAGAAACAGGAGGAGAAGCAGGTTTTCAGGAGGAGAAAATGTCTTCCACTTCATCAACGAAACCCGCCATGTTAATTTTGGTCAATCTAAGTAAGTAATGTCAAGTTATCAAATGAGAACAAGGTATACAAAAACAGAACCAACAGGTAAACTAGCATGCATCATATACATCCAGCTCTATGACACAAACAAATATTATATTTCTCATGGGGAGTATATTCCAGTTGAAACTAATACCATGTACACTCATTTTTTTTTACAATAATTTTTTTCAGATAATCCAAACTATGTCCGGATATATCCGTTTATTTACCAAACAAAGCAGGATCATTGACAAACCTGTGAAGATCAGTGATGGAATTGCTCAACCATAGTCTGGCAAACCTAAGAGTCATCGAAAGCTACAACTCTAAAATGAATGGAGATTGAAAAATGAAGCAAGAAATGAGGATAACAGACCGCGTTAAATAACATAAATATCACTATCCTGTAAATCAAGGCAACAAAAGGATGGAAACCTTTCCAACATTCTAAATTTCCTTCATCCCCTGCCTCTCCTGTTAACAACAATCCCTTGAATTTGAAACTGCGGTTAAGAACCAACCCTTGTGTGTCATTGTTTAATCCAGCGTGATGAGTGTTCCCTATTCTTTACAGAGATATGAAGCAACATTCTAAAAACTTTTTCATATCGCCTCTTTGGTAACTATTCGGAGACAATGACAAATCTATATTAATTCTGCGACAGTGACAAAACTCTTAGTTTCTTTTGGAAATCCGATTCAGAAAACAATCTAATGTGATCTGTTAAATGAATGAAACTTCAGTTGTTAATTGTTTCTGAAGTATGTAGTTATCTTAACCATCAGTCACAGTGTCTGGTCAAAACAATGACCAACTCACCATGTTGGTATATTTTTAAATTTTGTGAATATATTAATATTTGGTGAATTAGAAAGAAGTATATTGTACAATTCTTCTTCATTACCAAAATCACAATTAGAAAGGAAAATAAAAATGTTATATGACTGAAAGTTTCCTAGTCATTGTTTAATAATACGAAGGTTGTGACATTCTCACTTTAATGAGAAAGTATAAAGTGTAGGAACAATGAAATCAATTCCAAGGAGGATGAAATCTTATTATTCACATAAAAAAGACAAAAGCTTCTTTTTCATCTATGACATTGATATGATATCAAAATCAAGCAATGTCATGTTCTAAAAGTAGAAATCATGGTAGCAGCTAAACCACAATAAACAAAGATTCTAAATTGTACTGCATACTGTTTGTAAATAAAACATACTATGACCACAGATCTTGATCAGAGTCTAGATAACAGTATTACGTCAAATCAAACTGGTTTCACAAATCAAAAACTTGTATCAATATCATGTTATATGTTTCTTCATCTTTTAACTCCAATTTGCATAATTTACTGTCTGAAAGAAGTACCTAAATTTTGATGAAGATTTTGATATTTTGTTCCTCGATGAAATTGATATATTATCAAAATCAAGCAATGGCATGTTCTCAAAGTAGAAATCAGGATAGCAGCTATCCTGAAACTTCTAGGTTTCAATACATCTGCCCTTAATGTCACTGACGAGTTTTAGAGTGCCAGAACAGCTGTATGTTATAGTTCTAATTAATTAATTATTCTTCTCTATCTAATTTTAAGTTTGCAGTGAAAAATGCTATTCACTCAGGTGTTGTTTGGTCTAATCCTGACTTAACTTGCTTGTCAAAATGTCAACCAAATTAAGGCAAAGACTACATTTTCTAAATGTATTTTTAACTTAAAACAGGTAAACAAAAGCCTTTTGTCATTAATAAACATACAAAAAAGTGTCCTACAGTGTCGGAAGTTTAAAAAATTCACACTTTACAAATGTATTGAAGCAGTTACATTGTGACAAGTACACCAGACCTTTTAGGTAAAAGTAATTGAAAAAATCATAGCATTTCAAGTTCATTACGACATATTCCTGAGTCAGATTTATTAGAGTTACTTCCCTTCGTTCAACTCTGTCAGCTAAAGAAAGGTTAAAAAGATTCAATAAAAGAAGCCATTTCAATGGAATTTATTGGACAGAGACTCTCATGGCTTACAACTGAAACTAATTGCTTTTCTACTTTTTTTCTAGTTTGTACTCAGTTCAGGCAGTGAATAATTTCATTCAGATCTTGAAAAAAAATACACCATCTAATTGAAGTATATAAATACTGGACGTGACGAATGAAAAGTGACCTGTATCACAGTAAAGTCAACAACTTTTAATTAAATGTGTTAATGGCCTCTCTAATTCTTGACAGCAAATGTACCTGGGAACCTCTTCTCCTGCTAAGAAGAAGGGATTTAGATGGAGAAGGAAGGGAGTTATATCTCCATATCATGACGAGAGTGAAAACAGACGCATACCATGACTATAATAAAAACAAACAATTACCTTGGCGATAAAGAAACTAAATTTTACCATGGTGATAGTGAAAATGAACTTTTACCATGGTGATAGTGAAATTACACTTTTACCAAGGTGATAGAGAAAATATTTTTCACCTTGGTGATAGTGACAATATTTTTCACCTTGGTGATAGTGAAAATAAACTTTTACTATGGCGATAGTGAAAATATACTTTTACCATGATGAAAGTGAAAATAAATTTTAATAGTTTTACTTTTATATGGTGATAGTGAAAATAAACTTTTACTATAGTGATAGTGAAAATAAACTTTTATCATGGTGATAGTGAAAATAAACTTTTACTATGGTGATAGTGAAAATAAACTTTTACTATAGTGATAGTGAAAATAAACTTTTACCATGGTGATAGTGAAAATAAACTTTTATCATGGTGATAGTGAAAATAAACTTTTACTATAGTGATAGTGAAAATAAACTTTTACCATGGTGATAGTGAAAATAAACTTTTATCATGGTGATAGTGTAAATAAACTTTTACCATGGTGATAGTGAAAATAAAGTGAAAATAAACTTTTACTATAGTGATAGAAAATAAACTTTTACCATGGTGATAGTGAAAATAAAGTGAAAATAAACTTTTACTATGGCCATAGTGAAAATAAACTTTTACCATGGTGATAGTGAAAATTACTTTTACCATGGTGATAGTGAAAAGAAACTTTTTCCATGGTGATATTGAAGAGAAACTTTTTCCATGGCAATAGTGAAAGGCAAACCTTCAGCTAGTAATAGTTTAGCATCACTGGCGAGTCTTAAAAGGACAAAACAGCTGTATGATGCAGTTTTATTCATTGTTTAGAACTGCTGCATCTCACTCTTAATTTGTAATGTGTGACTCACAAGTGTGTCTTCTGAACAATTTTCAATGCTTTGATTTGGTTTGCTGAGTTTACCGACCTCTGACCTGCCAGGGTCATTTTATGGCTATGTCTCCATATAGTAACTGGTAGTTATCTCACTAAACAGCATACAGGAGGCTTGTTGCTGCCAACTACAACACTTACAGGGTAAAATGTCTAGCTCAAGGACACAACTATATCAGCATTGAGTGGTCCATTTCTTAACTTTATGAAAAACATAAACTGCCAAGGGTAGAAATCTGCATGGTAAATTCACCTTCTTTGTTTCCAACATTTAGCAAAACTGCCAAAATTAGATTACTTTGGAATTGTTAAGAAAACATTTGTTGATTATTAGGTATTTGTCTGAACCAGTATAATTTTTTGACGAAATCTGATCCCCATAATTCTGAGAGAAACTAATTCTTGACTTGCTTACTAAAGGACTGTGATCAGGCACTTCGCCAGCTTTAGTGTTTGGACAATGAAGTGCTTACAGTATTTTTCATTTATAGTCTATACCTGTGCGTGGTTTGATAAGTCTATTGTTTATATAATGTTCAGTATAACAGGTAAACATTTCTAGTGTCGCATTTTTCATATATTTATTAATTCAAAGCAACATTTTATTTAATATTGTCTGTAGCTTCATACATCGTTTCTTGAAGCGTATCAAAAGCAAAATTCAAATCTGTTTTATTGGCAGTATTTATCGTGCTTGGTCAGTAAGGTCAGTGTACACGTGCGGGGACAGAACGACGTGAGTACAAATGTAGTTAATTGGAGTTGTTATTGTTTTGTTGTTTGGAAGAATAAACAATAAGAGGAAAAAGTAGAAATTTATTTGTTTCTATTTATTTACTTCCATTTCAAATAACAGATTAAATTACGCTGTTTGCTTACCATTCTAACCCTATTTTGATCAACCAGTAAGAATTGAAACCAGGGACCCCTGGCTTACTAGTGGTATACTGCAGCTAGTATTTACCAGGGTTACAGAGCTAAAGAGAAGTTCTCTCTCGCCGAATAGTATACTGCGGCTTGTGTTTACCAGGGTTACATGTCAACCTTGTTTGTACACTCTATTTGAGTCTAAATTCTGATAAGTCAAAATATTTCTCACAGTCATTGATTTTCGAGATAACGAGTTTTGAGTGTATAAAGATCATAAGTATTTCAGAAAATTTACTTCAGGTTGGTGATGTCAATAGAATAGAAGTTTTTATAACAAAACCAATAAAACACTTGATTGTACAACCTATATCTCACTACTTAATGTCGCATGTGAGACAATTAAAAATCAAGGACCTTGGCATTCTATACTTTACTACCAGGATGATAAAACACCATGATGACCTCAATAATGGTCCATAATTGAAAACATGTGTAACCGTCTTTAACATCAACTTGTTGTGACTAGACAGCAATCTGGATATGTAAAAGTTTTAACAGGCTTACATAGCGATAAAATAGGATTCAATTCTACAGAAAAAAATGTGTCGTTAACCTAAAACTGTCAATATACACTATTGCCGTCATTCCCATGTAACTCAGAATCTGATCTTCTGTAAAGACTGATGTTGTGATACCATTGAGTCTATATATGTCCAGACACAATGGAAGGATAGGAGTACCATTATTAGCCCCCCCCCCCCCCCCCCCCCAACCCACCAACCCACCAACCAATAAGTTACAACCAAAAATAATAAGGTATGTCCCCTGGAAAAGTTCTTACCGTTCATTTCTCGCATCGCCCGTACAAAGTCTGTTGGATCTGTGAAGCTGACAAAACCATAGCCCTTTGTCTTATTGGAGCGCTTGTCTCGGACAACTTTTGCCTTCAAAAATGTTGGATATTTACTGAAGGCACGTGCCAGACATTCATCTGTGACCTCATTTCCAAGATCACCGCAGAAAATTCTGAAGTCATCTGCAAAGTCAAGTTTGGGTAACATTAAAAAATGAAACCGAACATAAATATGAACAATATTGTTATCTGGTTATGTCATTCTACAGGTTTTAATACTATGTCAAATCTTTTATAGCATATCTAGGATTATCTCCCTTTTTGCTCTAAACATCATTTTAACTTTCATTTTTTATTTTATAGAATCTGTCTTTTATAATTACTGTAAAATCATGAGGGTGATTTTACTGTAAAATCATCAATTTTTGTGGTTGATTTATTTTCCTTGAGAGTTTATCTTAATCCATGAATATATATCCACAAACTGTTAAAAGTACATTCAATATGTAGATTTATTTCCCTATATTCATCCACAAAATCAAGTGTCAACAAACACAAAAACATTCAATTTTTATAGTATCTTAAAATCTTTTTAAATTTCAAATGAAAATTAACCAAATTCATGAAGTGATTGTTATAGCATCCTCTTCCTTAACTTTTTCAATTTTTTTCTCTATCAATTTTAATCTGTGTTGATTTCAATAAATTGTTACCTAGCATCATTAATGTATTTAGTTATCTAATCTATAACCCACATTCAATGTATCTCTTACTAAACCTATCAGTACTATAGACATGTTTGTCTTCTGGAAATCCAAACATCAAAGCCAATTACAGAAAACTCCGCGACTGTAACTTTCAATAAAAAGTCATTTGAAATTGATAACTCACAATATTTTTTTCTGAGGGGTTTGAATTTGCTCAGTTTTACGAAAAACTGAAAACCTAAGAAATGCATTCCACACAAATGTCCTGAAATAATTATAGATTCCTCTATCAATATTTAATGTATCAGCTTTTCATGGTCTTTTTACTTGAAAAAGGAAAAAAAGAAGCAAGCTTCTGAATAAAACATTTTCTGTATTTTTATACTATTTTGCAAATAAGAAATATCACACAATGATGTGATATGATATCTTTATCATTTTACTAGTTCAGTTACAAATTGTACCTGTGTCCCACTCCTCCAGTGACGGATCTTCCCAAGTGTCTCCAGCTGCTGTACGAATGAACTTTTTCTTTTTATCTTTTTTAGATTTTTTCCCACCAGCAGCTGATTCCTCCGTGTCAGCTTCCATCAAATCACAATCTTCTTCAGTGGTGTAGGAGGCCGCACTGTTCCCAATGTCTGTTGGAATCGGCATATTTACACCTCCTTTTTCAACTTTCTCTTTAACATTTGTCTCCTTCACAGATTCTATAACAGTCGTGGTAGCTGGAGCTGTAATTTTCGGTTTTTTAATTTTTCCAGTTTTTGGGTGAAGCCTTACAGGGGCTGCTGAATACACTACCTTTGGTTTCTCTATCACTGTTTCCTGTTGTGAAGAATCTGGCATCATGGGGCCAACAGGACCCATAGGTCCACCAGCAGGCATCATGTGAGGGTTCATTCCCATAGGTGGGCCACCATAGGGACCACCATGATATGGTCCTGGATGGAATGGACCTGGACCTGGACCAAAGTTTCTTGGTCCGCCATGTGGTCCCATAAAGGGCCTGTTCATCATCGGAGGTCTTGGAGGAGGAGGGGGAGGAGTCCAATTACGGATCTGGGGAGGGACAAATGATAGTGAAGGTGGGGGAGGGGGTGGGGCTATGGGCGGGGCCTCTCCTGATGGCTTGCTTGTTGCTAGTAGAGATGGGGGAGGAGGTGGTGGTGCTGACAATACTGCAATAAACAAAATACACTTTAATTATCAAATTAATTTACATTTTTAATGATTATTCAAAAAATCTGTTATTTTGAATATTATAATTTTTCTAATTTATGTTTTTTTAATTTTCAAATTAATTAGTTATTTCATGATTATCAAATCAGTTATTATTTTCTTTTTAAATATTTTTTTCTTTTTTTCCTGCTTAGGAATATTCAAACCAAATGATTAAATTATGACTATGTAACTTTAGAAGTCATGTAATATCCATATTTTAACTACAAGTTCACTGACTAAACATCAAATACAATAAAAATGGTATATTCAATTTAACACTGTAACAAACGTGTTTGAATTATTACTCAAAATAATCATGAAAACTAATACTTAATTTTCATTTTAAAATATTTCCCATTGTATGGTATTGCTACATAACAGTTGCAGATGTGTTAAGAATATTGAAAGTAATGTTTACAAAATTGAGTTGTTTCCCCTTATATCAGAATAAGTGAAATGGTACCTATATTTAATACAGACAAACCCAGTGATTTACAGTATTGGACTTGTTTGATATTTGCTGATTATCATATCTCTTCCTAAATGGTCAATCCTACATTATCTGACAAAACAAACTCCTGATAAATTACGAAGAACAAATTGCAGCATGATTAATGTCTCACTTATATGTCAAAACATCTCCATGTTAAATAATATAACATTAACCAGCTCTTTATTTAAACCTGTATTTATTTTTCTTAAAAAGTCTTATCAAGAATATGGATAATAGCAACAAGAAAAAATAATGTGACATCTATGGGGAAACACCTAACCTCCTAGACATCATGGTCAGCCATATGTTTGACTCTAAATAATGGGAAGCATGGTCTGCAGCTTATAAGTGATCAAGGCTACCAACGCATTTTAAGAAATAACATTGTCACGATTCATATTTCACAGATAAGTATTTGTAAGTATTTTAAGCATAATTTTGGTTGCTGTATTACGAGTATTTAGACTCGCTGGATATTGGTATGTTACACCGTCGCAAACCGTTGGTACCGGTAAGATGTGTCAGAGACAACTAAAGAAACCAGACATGTTTGATAAAACCACGTAAGAATCGGGGTGAGTATTAATTCTGGAACTACCAATGACTGCCTATGCACTTCTGTTGTTCTATATTTCTTCTTTTCATCTGGTTTTTGCCGTTTAAAAGTGTATAGGTATTGTACAAGTAGGTTAAGCTATGCTAGATGCTGGTGCACGTCACTCATGCGTATCGCATTTACATTTCATGAGCATGAATTTATGTAGGGTATATTATTTGTATATTGTTTTTATGAACTTGAGTCTGTAATAGTAACATAGTAATAGTAAATTATATTGAATGTAACTAGTAATGTATGAAGTTGTTGCAATAAAAGACAAATACAGTTTGGATGATTTATGATGCACATGCTGTTCCCATGGCAACAAGAGGATAGTAATCCAGCACATCATCTATTTCCGGACAAGATATAGGAATCGTAATCTTTCAGTATTAATTTTCTAAAATATTTGCAAACTTTTTTGCCAACTCTAGACAACAATATACATACTAAGAGGGCAAGCAAGAGAAAAGAGAAAAATAATCATTCACTCCCTTGTTGATGAGATAGGGAGATTTCAACCAGTGAGGAAATATGAGTCTATTTTTGGGACTCAAATATCTACTATCAAATATATCTCTTTGTATACTCATCAAAATTTGGGAAACAAAGTTTGGGTATCATCAGAAATGAAAAAGAAATCCACCAATGATTACTTATTTATCTCACTCTAATGGTGTGACACTTGAAAATTTCTATTTAGCTGCTTATAAATTTTCATCTCCAGACGCATGACAATAATACAATTATACTTGACATGTTTCATTGGCTCCATGGTTCTGGCATGTACTTACCAGAGACAGGAATGTTTGCCTCTGTACTGGGAGCAGGAGCTTCTGCCTCATACTCATCCGTATCTTCGTGACCTGTGATGCGGGCCTGAACCTTATGGTAGGTGTTGGATCCTATGATCATACGATGAGCACCAATTACACCCTTCCCATCAGGTGTGAAAATTTCTTGCTCGAAGCTGTTATACAACAAATCAAAATTTGAGTCATAATACATTTACTTTAATCATTCTTTTTTTGTACTCTTATATATGTTGGGCATGAAATTAGTTACGATAATGATGGATGCTTAACACAGGTTGGAAACTCTCTGTATCCCTGTTGCCTAAAACAATGTATCAAAATGACAGTGGCCCCTTTGTGCTGTTCAATACTTCATATAGTATAACCAATTAAAGAATATATTCCAAATGGTAAATTCCAGTGATACATGAAAAAGTAATCGGTACCTTTCTGTAATTTCATTGTTTTGATTTAGAGAAAAGAATTAAAATAACCTTTCAATTGACATACATTATCTATAATCAGTTTGTAAAAAGTATCACTGTTGGACGGTCTTTTGACATATAAAAGTCAACAGAGAAGGCAAGACATTTTGATTCCTTACTCTTTTCTAACAATTATTCGAATCTTAAATCTATTTTTGTATCAACAACTTGTTTCTCTCTCCCTCTCAAAGTCAACACGAAAATAATTACACAGTAAGTCTCAAATGGGCCTAGTGCCAAACCCCTGTATATATTGGCCTACTAAAATCGTTGACTAGAAAAGTGCAAACCTACGTCAAATATTGGCGAAAACTAGAAGAAAGGTAAAACTCCATTTCGTATGTTTACCAAACGTAGACTATATATTCCTAGTATTGGTAGCAGTTGGTCGTCAACATAAACATTTCACCAATAAAACACACTAGATGATTTATCTATAAGCTAATGTTAGAAACAATATTTTTCATAATAAACTAATATTATATTAATAAACGATTCACATAATTACCGGTTCATTTCCGCCTCCATTTCCTTTAATTTCTGATCAGTTAACATCTGCATGGCCATTTTATCCTCCATCTTGACGGCGTCTGTATCACCCTAACGCTTGTTTGATATGATAATAAATGCAATGGAGTATCGGTCTATCATATCCGGATGGTTTCTCATAACTTTGAGCATTTCTTCACAATATTAATTTTAAATTACTGTATGGAAAGTATAATAAAAAATCGCAGCGAAAATAGCCCTGTTCCTGTTCGAACACTGGTAACGTTATAATAAGTCTTCTATAATGGTGAGGTTAAATTTCCGGTAAGTCACTTTTTTAAATGGATATAGCTGCACAACGAATGAAAAAAAACATAATAAAGTTAGACGAAATGATGAAGGAAAATGAATCTTATATAAATTTTTACCTACGAATTCTTGAGTTTGATTAAGGTCCTGGTGTTTTGTTACTATTACCTATTGGTCGGACAGTGAATTTCTCCGTCAGCACAGTGTTCTGTCGAACACACGAACCTTAGTACTGGCGACGCTACCGAGAGTAACATCAAATTGTTCGTCAATTTCTCTATGGGAATCCTTTAGCCCAAAATCGTAAAAAATAAGAACTTACTTTCTGGCGTAATAGTTGGAAACTTAACTTGTTGGATTATTGAAGTAACAAATTGTAAGACCTTCGCGTCATCCAAAATTAAATGGGAATTCCATTTCGTTATAGTTGGTAACGATTGATTCAGAATATAGTTGCAATTTCCCTATTCTGACTTTTCTATTTCTGGATAGTAAGATCCCTGCATCCCCAACCTATTTTGTTTAAAATGTTGATGGGGGTGTTCACATTTTGCTATAGTTTTATTAGCTTTGAGTTTGGATTATGATTATAGTGACATATTAGTATTTTTCTTGCTGTTTTTTGCACTCTGATGCCTTTTCGTCTCAAATCGATCGCAGCCATCAATTCAAATATATCATCATCATCATCGTCATCTCCATCACCATCACCACCACCACCATCATCATCATCATCATCATCATCATCATCATCATCATCATCGTCATCATCACCACCATCATCATCATCGTCATCGTCATCGTCATCATCACCACCATCATCATCATCATTATCATCATTATCATCATCATATAAATTCACAATATGCAGTAGATATCGTTGCTGTGCCAGCCATGTTGGATTCACACATGCGGAAAACATTGTTGTTTCATTTGACGGACCAACTCTAAAATGTCTAAAATGGAGCACGCAGTAATTCTATAGATTGGTTGTTACATACGTACATTTACACAAAACAACCGGAGGTAAATACACAAAATCGGTCAAACGATGTCAAAATATTCGAGCAGAAGACGGATTTTACCAGAACTGTACAAAAAACTATAAGGCAATCATAAATACCAGATATTAAATACCAGAAGGATTACCGACTTCCGCTGTAGTAGGCCAATCCAAGTAGTGGTGAATTCAGGATACTGTATTAGAAAAGTGGTGGGAGGGGTGACAAGTGATGTCCGGTGGAAAATAGAATCTCTGCGGTCATTTACGCAATATAAAAATACTGACAATATAGTGAACGAGAGAAATTGATTACCGAGCATTATTTTAGCATAAACAGACCTAGACATGAAATCAACATTAAAAAAAAAACCAAACATTGTTTCTTGACAGGGTATACCTACTTGGAATAGTATTTACATGAAGTGACAATTTTACGTAAAACAGATAAATGGATCTATAAAGCCAGATCTAGAAGATTCGAGAAATCATGTGACTTTAAGAATATTTAACTAGTTACCTAGTTTTCGTGTTACATTTAATTAATTTGTAAGACCTGTTACTTTCAATGACTAACCGGTGTTGGGAAGAGTTACAGGCGAAATTTTAAGTGAACGACCGAAAGGACATGTAAACAAAAGCCTAGTTATCATACAGGTGTACATAGGATAGTCAACAAATCAGTGGTATTTCTTCATCAAAATAAAGTATACATTATCAAGTATAAATAACAAAATAGAAATTAATATAGTATTCACAAAAAATATGTTTATTTTTTATTTTCCATCTTAAAACGCAAATTTATTTATTTTAATTAAATAAACTTGATCACGTGGTTCTATAAACTTTTGGACATTCTGAGTATACCGAGAGGTAAACATGTTGATAACGTTCTGTTAGAATGAAATATTACCTCATCATAGAGTTTCATTGGAGAACAAGCGATTAGGCTAAGGATACGATCAAATATATTTTGATGTTGCTGTGAGTTAAACACGTTGCTTATCTTTATGATAAAGATAATATATCCCTCTGACCTGTGTTACTTATAATTATCATTAAAAATCGGGAAATTCTGTTCTTACGTTTACAGTAATGTTGGTGTAAATATGGAAATGCCTCACAATTCTTGTATTCATTATATGCCCGCAGTGGCTCAAATTAGATAGAAATGTAATTTCAAGAATAGACCAGTACCCTTTTATATAGGTAAACAGGAAACAGGAATTCAAAAGCTTATTGTTTGGAGGACACACGTACATTACATAGATCTTTAGCTGTTTTACAGTCAAGAAAATAGGTTTCTCGTTGTCCATATGTGTAATTTTTTCCCATAATGAAGTAAATTCAAGAATATTTTTCTCATTTTTATCCTGAGAAAATTCCGCTATATTTACCTAATCGATGTAGACACATATCGCAGTAAAGATAGAAAAAAACAAAGATGTCAGATTCTCTCAGAGGACAATTGAAATGACGTCAAAACTTTCAATAATGACGTTGCTTCGGGGATAAATTAATTGCACGTGAAAATTGTGGGATGTTATTAATAATTAATGAGTAGTAATCACAGATCCGACAGCACCGTATCTCCGATTTCTGCTGTGAAGTACACCGTCGCCGGTTATCAGGAGGGTCGAACTACAAACCTCCACAGGTAGTGGTATTCTGATGTTTGATTCTGTGGCGATAAGCTTGTCAGCTGTTGAGGGCCAGCAATTGGGTAAACCTACCTACAGATATTCCAATTAAATTCGGTATATTAAAGACGTTTCTGTGACTTTTGAGGTCTTTTAGGCAGCGGGATATAAAGCCAACAGAAGTTAATTAAGAATAACAAAAACAGAACAATAGAATTCGTTAATTATGTTAACAGCAGAGATTGGATGGCCTACCCTAGCAATGGAAAACGTCTGGTAGACCTTGAATCGACAATGGGATCATGATCAGATCACGTGACTTTGTTTACGTCGAGAATGCTCTAGTTTCTACCAGACCAGTCAACGTTCAGCGATGCTGGCACGATCTGGAATGTAGGAGATGAGTCACATAAATACTGCGGGTTATAAATATACACATAGGTTCATTATATTGAATGAATCATAAACAAAACTTTCTAAAATAGTCAGACAAATGTAATTGAACCGAACGAACAGTCACGAAATTAGTGTTGTCTTAGGCATATTTCCTCGGAACGGTGCAATGGAGACAACGTAGTTTGGACAAGATTGTGATACATTCGGATACACCATTTGTGTGTGATATGTAGCAGCAGGTGAGTATTCAGCCACCGAAAATTATACACTTTTATACATTTTTAACTTATGCGTGACTTAATTTGCAGAATTAACAAACTTTCAAAGAGACAGTGATTTGTGATTTCCGTGATTTGTAGTCGGGATTAATTTTTTTTATCTAGTAATTAATTCGTCCTGTATGTCACCAGACCTATACACTGTTAATAAGTACCTTGTATTTCATGAATGTAAAAAGATGTGTACAGTTAGATGTTTCTTGTTTATAAATACTTTGAACTGTTGAATTCATGATATGATAGATTTTGTTCGTATTTGCACATGTTAATGAACAATAGGGTAAATAACGAAATGGACCGAAAAGGAGTCACCCATTAATGAAGGGATTGGTTTTATGATGCTATATGATACAATATTAACGACTAAAAGTGTGTAATTAACATTTATCTTAAGCAGAACCACATATACAATGTATATACCCCAAATATAACCATGATTCCCTGATCACGGTTACACCTAGTACATGACTTCAGACTGTGCATGACTATGACATTGAACTTTTGAGTGTATCGTTGAAAAGTGACATCACCTCACTTATAGTCATTGCCACATGAGTACACTATATAGACCGGATCACAACATTAGGCATTATAGGAAATGAGTATAAGGCCACAGTAAATAATATGTAGACCTACATATGCAGCAGATGTGACTAAGACGATCAAAGTGTAGTACAGTACTGACTGTTTTCAGAAGTGATAGACGTGTTGGATCAATCTGTCAAGGCCACGGCCAACATTTCTGTTCATTTATGATTTTAACTACGTAATTTTGCTACATATCAATATCTTGAAATATTTAATGCCTTTGAGTAAAGACAATCTGGTAAGTATATTTATACAGATATATATTTCAAAGTTTTTTTTTATATCAGGGTAATTTAGATGATGATATTGGATGTCACTTTATATCAAATATTGTTTGGAAAGTTGAATATCACAGGTATACATTACACTGTAGCAGGAATTGTGTGTACACCTGTATACATGTATGTTGAATGTACTATACATGTAATCAAGTCTACCTCCCTAGCTTGACTCATACATAATGAAAAAACATGCACTGCTCCTATTTATTTGACTTCTTAGACCTTTTTTGTCAAAACCCAATAAATTATAAGCCCTTATCTTGCTTGTAACAAATATTTAACGACCTGAAAAAGTATAATGTAGATTTTTTTGCCTAGAGGTTCCTTAGAGGTCTATAAAACTGATTATTATTTGGGGTGTAAATTAAATTAATTTACTACACTTAAGATCCTCCTATCTGAAATAGTGATTAAACAACAGTTACTTTATTTTCCCAGAAGATGATTACTATATAAAATCTAGTATGGTATTGTGATATACTATTAAAACAAATAAAATAAATGTGTAACTGTGATATTTATTGTTAAGTTTTTTTATTCTTTGTTACAGTGGAGAGAAGAAACCGAGTCCCAGTGACCACAAAGTAACTCTCATCAGCCATTAACATATTTTGACCAGTCAGTGATATCAGTTAATATGAAACTTCAGCCACTTTTGTTTGATACTATGTATACCCCACCAGGACTATCCATGCCATCATGGGGTCGGTGGTCACGACCAGTTTCATCAGTTCCCATTTCCCGACAACCCTATGAAAGACTCCGGGAATACACAGTGCCACAGTCTTCACAGGAAATTCCTGCTGATTTCTGGGAGCCCGTGGTTCCTAATTCTACCTCAGATTCTTCTCGGTCAAGAATTGATGACCAAAGAACGAGATCAGAACAGTCAGTACCGATTAGAATTCAGCATGTAAGGACAGGACGGTCAGCAATGTATGGGATGTATGATGATCGTGTTTGTGATTACAATCAAACCTCTGATTATGATGCTTACAGTTGGGACCAAAGTGAAAGAGATTCACAAATCAGTTCACTTAGTGATGACAGAACTAATTTAAACAGCAATGCAAATGGAGCAAGATTCAAAACAAATGAATATTCAAGAGGTGTAAGGTCAAGTGATGAATATTCAAGAGGGACAAGGTCAGGTGATGAATATTCAAGAGGTGAAAGGTCAAGTGATGAATATTCAAGAGGTGCAAGGTCAAATGATGAATATGCAAGATGCACAAGGTCAAATGGTGACAGAGAAAGAAATCATAGGACTAGATCGAATTTGTACACCAGAGTGTCAGGTCCACAGTCTAGGACATCAGACAATAATATGACAATAGATCTTGATGTAAGACCGGAGAGATCGCGAGAAGATCTCGTATGTACAGGTGTTGAAAGACCAGGCAAGTCCAAGAAATATGATTACGAAGATATTGATGCACAGATAGCTGCTTCTTATGGTTATGACATGGGATCTAAAGATGAGCCAGATGTCGGACTCAAGGTCGACTTACCCACTGATACACCTATCCTGTCTAAACTAAGGACACTGAAATCGTCCAACATGTACGTCATTCTGGATAATGACGAGGAGGAAGAAGTGAAGACTTACAAAAAAACAAATCCATCCCTGAATGGAAATGATAATCTTCCAGGGATTCTAAATTCTAGAGGTGAATTTTACGATTTGTGTGATAGATCAAGTGACGAGTCTTGCGATTGTCAAGAACTAGTTGTCAATCTACCCCCTCCCAAGGTCAAGCCTATGACCTCTACAGAAAAACCTGTTATAACACCAACAGAAAAACCTGCTGCCAAGACAACTACCGATTATCGGAATATATCTGACCCGCCCAGTTACCCTGCCTACAATATTATCAGAAAAGTCATCAGCAAATTTGGAGGTGTTGTAGACTACATTCGAGGCGACGGAAATTGTTTCTTTCGTGCTCTCAGCAAAGTCGTTTATGGAGATGAAAGTTGTCATGGTGAAGTGAGACAGGCTATGGTGGACATCATGGAAAAATTCCCCAAAGATTTTGAACAATTTATTGACAATCCATCCATACAAGATCACTTCAAGGAAATGAGGAAGGATGGTGTTTGGGCTACACAAGCTGAAATATACGGAGCTGCCTCGTTTCTCCAGCGCGACATCTATGTTCTTTCCCCTGATCACACCGGAGATGAATACCGTTGGCTACTGTTCTCACCACGCCTTAAATGCTCCAAAGCTGACACCTACCACACATGTCATGTGACTCTTTGTCACACCAATGGTAACCATTATGACAGGATTGCTCCAGCAACAGGTGATTGTAATTGTGGAGTGCCATTGCCAATGTTGAATGGTTCAAACTTACAAGTGGACCTTACTGCAGAAACAGATGAAGTTGTGTAATGGTGTCATTCTTAGTACTGGAAAGAAAACATTTGTCTTCTCCGTCAGGAAGAGCGGTCTGTTCTAGCTATTCGGTTCAGCAGATGAGCCTGTAGGATCAGTATGGTAGATAACATATAATTACTCTTTCGTCTACTGCAGGTACAAGTGTCTTCTGTTACATGTTTATCTTAGGTCATGCATGACGCAAAAGAATGATAACAACAGGTTTAACTTTGAACTTTAGGTGATTACATCTGATTCAGTTAAATGTTTTTAAAATTTAGCCATTGTTCTTTTTTTATTTTTTTTTTAACCATAGATAATTTTTGCTAAAAATGCAGTTCTTACAGTTTAGAAGCTGCATACATGGGCTTGCATAGTTATTTAAAAAAAAAAAAAGAGGAAAAGTTGCTTTATTTAAACAAAAAATTAAAAACACAATAACTTGCTTCTTTCAGATATTTAAGCCTATTTAAGATATATATAACTGGCTGATTCTCAACCATACCTCCCTATTTTAACTCCTGTTGGCAGAATTTAATTTTTTGAATAAGAATTTTTTGATTTTACAACTACTTTAGAATTATTTAATTTATTTAATTGGTTGCTGTTCTGAGTTGTTTCTTGTTTGATCCTATTCTGCATTGTTTTGAGAACAAGAGGATAACATTAAATGAATGTATATAATTATCATAAAAAAAAATGAAATAAAGCTTTTAATCTATATATTTCTCAATATTTTTCTCTTGAAACACATTTTTGTTTTTGTTTCGGGCCAGGACAAAGAAATACTCGGAATATGGCATATCTTTTATCTGTAACAGCTATAGAAAAAAATAAACTGCCAATAACTTGAACAAGGAAAACATTACCTGCAGTCTGTCAGACATTCTGGCTTGTTAAAGATAAACATTACCTGTCTATTGAACATTCTCCCCTCTTTATTTTTTTCTAAATTATATAAATGAGATATTCTCTGTCAATTTAATCTAGCTATATAGCCTACAATAGTCATGACAAAAGAACTACATAAAAATCTTTCTCCTGTTTTGTAACCTGTATATGTACATTGTCGTTGATTAGAGACCTGTGACTAAAAAATCATGACCATCTGTTATTTTGATTTAATATATGGAAATTTGCTTATTGAATTTCACCATCTTTTCATCCACATGAATATTGAATGATACAGCTTATAAGCTTCTCGCAATACAAAGAAATCTGAAGTCACAGGTCTTCATGTATCGGCTGTTGATATCTATAGCCAAAGCACATTTTATGTACATGTACAGTCGAACCTCGTTATCTCCAACTCAACCTCGTTATCTCCAACTCGTACAACTTGAAGACCCTGTTTAATTTGAGGTATTTCGTCGGTCCCTGTCTAGCATTATACACATAATATTCAAACTCCCTTAAATCAAATTCTCTGTTATGCGAAAGTTTTCCTGTGGTCCCCACTGAGCTAAAGATAACAAGAATCATCTGTACATACATGAAGACAAAGTGAATTTTTTTTAACACTTATTTGAATTTGTTAAGACCATGCCACATAGTGGCAGACTTCCAATAGTAATCCCTCAGTCAGTCTGTCTGTTTGTCTGACACTTATTTGTCTACTTAATAACCAGTAATATAAAACCAATGAAACTATTATTGACAACCATAATATGAAAACGTGTCACAAATTCATTGTCTGTTTTCCAAAAATCAAGTCCTCAGACTTCAGATTTTGTTATTTCAGTATTATACAAGGTGTACACAAAGTTGTGATTAGTCATAGTAGAGGAATCAAGATTTTGTATGATATTTATCCACTATGAGATGGAGAGTCGCGAACCAAATTTGTTTTGTCTCCAAATGGTCATAGTGTCAGACTGAGGGCTGTGTCTGTTTCATAACAATACCAACACGGTGTCTAATTGTCATACGGTGGGGATCTATAAGATAGTGTCATGACTATCATCTAGTTTTATTTTTTTTAAACATTGATATTTTACATACTGCATTGGTTTAGTTTTTGTAGTAAATTATGTGTTAGAAATTAGATCAGCTAGTCTTTTTTCTCCAGTAATCATTTTCTATATGTTGCACTAAATTCAGTCTGTGATGTCCGAGTGGTTCAGGTGTCTTTATCACTATGTATACATAGTGAGGTTTGAGTCCTGTTTTCATCAGTGACTGTGTGATAGCCAAATATCCATAAAATATCTTATTGTTGTTATAAAATACATGTTGTATGGTTAACTATAAAATGGTGATTTTATTATTTTAACTGTGAACTTTGACCTATACAGTGTATACCTGACATTGAAGTTCTGATATTACGACCAGAAAGATGATGCTGAATTGACGTATAATATATATACACTAATTGACATACCCGGTGCTGCGTTGTGAATTCTCATTTCTAAATATTGTATATTTGATGGAAAATTGTATCACTATTTTTTGTTTAAAAAATTGTTCCTTTAAACTGGTGCTAAGTTGGTATTTTATTGCACGACATTATGATTTTTGATGATTCTTGACAACTACTTTATTTTTAATAAACCAAGCACAATCATTGCAGAATTTAACAGCATTACAGAAATTTAAATATAGATTACAACTTTCAATTTGTACCTCAAGTGAAATATTGAATATTTTTTATCACAGTGCTGCAATTAGAAATAAGAAATGACATATACTAATGATGTGAGAATGATTGGAAATAATCAATTATCTGATTGGTTAACCTGATATCAGGAATTTATATATTAAAAAAAAAATAATATCAATCCACATTGAGGTGAAGTTATTTCAAGTATTATAATGTCCTATTATTGTGTACTGTAATAGTACTTTGTTGTATACATGTAAAGTTTGTCAATATGTCTCTCAGTGCCTTTAATATTTGGCAGAAAGTTTAATGGACCCTCAATAAATGTTTGTAAGTCAGGAGTTCTATATTTGTATATATACATGGTACTGTAAACTTGTGTTGCAAGCCTTATGAACAGTGTAAAATTCACCTGTATCAAATACTTGTCTGTAAAAAGCACATGTATCTTTAATATATTCCTTTCAGTAAACACCACCTATATGTAATAGACATCTTTACATAACGACAAAGAAACCAATTATACCTGTCTATAAACACCACCTGTATCTTTAACAAATACCTGTATATAAATACCACCTGTATCTTAAACAAATACCTGTCTATAAACACCACCTGTATCTTTAACAAATACCTGTCTACTTGTATCTTTAACAAAAACCTGTCTATAAACATCACCTATATCTTTAACAAATACCTGTCCATAAACACCACCTGTATCTTTAACAAATACCTGTCTATAAACACCACCTATATCTTTAACAAATACCTGTCTATAAACACCACCTGTATCTTTAACAAATACCTGTCTACTTGTATCTTTAACAAATACCTGTCTATAAACACCACCTGTATCTTTAACAAATACCTGTCTATAAACACCACCTGTATCTTTAACAAATACCTGTCTATAAACACCACCTGTATCTTTAACAAATACATGTCTACTTGTATCTTTAACAAATACCTGTCTATAAACACCACCTGTATCTTTAACAAATACATGTCTACTTGTATCTTTAACAAATACCTGTCTATAAACACCACCTGTATCTTTAACAAATACCTGTCCATAAACACCACCTGTATCTTTAACAAATACCTGTCTATAAACCCCACATGTATCTTTAACAAATACCTGTCTATAAACACCACCTGTATCTTTAACAAATACATGTCTACTTGTATCTTTAACAAATACCTGTCTATAAACACCACCTGTATCTTTAACAAATACATGTCTACTTGTATCTTTAACAAATACCTGTCTATAAACACCACCTGTATCTTTAACAAATACCTGTCTATAAACACAAACTGTATCTTTAACAAATACCTGTCTATAAACACCACCTGTATCTTAAACAAATACCTGTCTATAAACACCACCTGTATCTTTAACAAATACCTGTATATAAACACCACCTGTATCTTAAAAAATACCTGTCTATAAACACCACATGTATCTTTAACAAATACCTGTCTATAAACACCACCTGTATCTTTAACAAAAACCTGTCTATAAACACCACCTATATCTTTAACAAATACCTGTCTATAAACACCACCTGTATCTTTAACAAATACCTGTCTACCTGTATCTTTAACAAATACCTGTCTATAAACCCCACATGTATCTTTAACAAATACCTGTCTATAAACACCACCTGTATATAAGAGACACCTTCAATGAAAGCAAAGAAACCTATTGTAATTGTCTATAAAATCCACTCGTATCTCTGTTTATAAGGGTCACTGGTATTGGGTCCCAATGTGATACAATTCCATAGAAAACAAACTTCTATATAAAGGCCAACTGTGTTGAAAGACCACTATTCTCAGCTTGGTAGAGTGGCCTTTATAGACAGGTTTCACTATAATAACATTTGCAGTAGAGGTTATATTGATTATAAACACAAATACATAATTAATATATATGCTTTCTATTCGCAGCATTGTGTGAAAGCAGCCCCAAGGATTAGATATTGATAAACCTCGTGTGATGTTAGTTATAGGTGAAATGATATTAACTACTAAGACAATTATAGCATACACTATTTAACCAAATAAGCACACTGCTCACTTACAAAAACACAAAAGGGGCTCAATGAAATCATGTGTTGGAAAAAGTGAAATCTGGATGTAGTCAATAAAGATTGTAGGATTAGATCAGTGAAGTATTTTCAAAGGTTTTACTTATTACATCCATCCTCTTCCTCAGAATTAAAGGGAGTAAATGGTTAGGTTTCATTATCTTTTCCAATCATTTGATGTTGTTTGATATCCCATCCATCCTCTTCTCCTGAATTAAAGGGACAAAATGGTTAGGTTTTTATTATTATTTTCCATGCATTTGATTTAGGACAAGCATTGTTACACTTAAGATAAGACTATTCACAAAAATTATAGCACTCTTGAGAAAAATTGATAAAGATCATCAGCTTCTAATGCTAATAGCCAATTGCTGTTGTGTCCACCGCCAATCGCTGTTGTGTCCACCGCCAATTGCTGTTGTGTCCACAGCCAATTGCTGTTGTGTCCGCCAATTGCTGTTGTGTCCACAGCCAATTGCTGTTGTGTCCACAGCCAATTGCTGTTGTGTCCACCGCCAATTGCTGTTGTGTCCACCGCCAATTGCTGTTGTATCCACAGCCAATTGCTGTTGTGTCCACCGCCAATTTCTGTTGTGTCCACAGCCAATTGCTGTTGTGTCCACAGCCAATTGCTGTTGTGTCCACAGCCAATTGCTGTTGTGTCCACCGCCAATTGCTGTTGTGTCCACAGCCAATTGCTGTTGTGTCCACCGCCAATTGCTGTTGTGTCCACCGCCAATTGCTGTTGTGTCCACAGCCAATTGCTGTTGTGTCCACCGCCAATTGCTGTTGTGTCCACCGCCAATTGCTGTTGTGTCCACCGCCAATTGCTGTTGTGTCCACAGCCAATTGCTGTTGTGTCCACAGCCAATTGCTGTTGTGTCCACAGCCAATTGCTGTTGTGTCCACCGCCAATTGCTGTTGTGTCCACAGCCAATTGCTGTTGTGTCCACAGCCAATTGCTGTTGTGTCCACAGCCAATTGCTGTTGTGTCCACCGCCAATTGCTGTTGTGTCCACCGCTAATTGCTGTTGTGTCCACAGCCAATTGCTGTTGTGTCCACCGCCAATTGCTGTTGTGTCCACCGCTAATTGCTGTTGTGTCCACAGCCAATTGCTGTTGTGTCCACCGCCAATTGCTGTTGTGTCCACCGCCAATTGCTGTTGTGTCCACCGCCAATTGCTGTTGTGTCCACCGCTAATTGCTGTTTTGATCAGAGGTAGTCAAGATCATCATGTGACCTTTTCAGAACCCCGATTTAACCCGCTGTTTTGTTATGATTCAAATTTGCATGTGCAAAGACGTTTTCACTCTCCAAATGATAATGATATTAGTCTTTGATTTTTACTATTTTATTTTAAATTTTTTTGACATTAGTAATGAAATAGTTAGGCAAACTTTAAAATGATATAATTAGCAGAAAGTGCACAACTTCTAACTGATATTTAAATGTTTTAATGATTTTTATGTATCATGAAATGAAAGTCTAACCATTTTGTCTCTTTAAGGTGCATGGGGCTGAGATTGTAGATGCAGGTGCTCTTATCAGGTCATATATATGTATTAAATTGATTAGTGTTACATATCCTCTCACTGTCTCTAGGGAACAACATGAGGTACTCTTTACCAAACCTGTTCTGAAATAACCCTAGGATGCCAACATAAACTTATGTAGGGAGATTAAAATTAAGACGACAATGATAACAATAGACATTTTTGAAGTAGGTATGGGTGGGCTTATTACAGAACATGGGTTTAATACTGGTTACAGTAATCAGAAATTTTTTCTGTTATGAATGAAGGATAAGATGACTTTGTTATCTATTCATTCTAACCACTCATATTTTTATTTTTTAGTGAAATGAAAATTTCTTTACTCTTTGCTTCATCATTCATGCATGGCTTGTTTGAAATGAATTAACAGCTTTCATGAATTTTCATATTTTATAAAATAATGATATTTAATAACGGCATGTGTAGAATATTTATCTCATGAGAAATTATTCCAGTATTGAAAATATCAGTATTATGCATAAATATTTTAAATGGATGAAAGACAAATTTAATATCTATTAGCGTCCAGATTAAACAGTTTTTTATCATTAATTATAATTGTCAAGCTGAAAGTATTCATATCCTGACTGTACACTGCTCCTGGAAACATTTTTTGGGACGTTTTACTCCTGATACATATGATCACTTATTTTACTTTTTTAATGTACATTGTATACATATAACAAATACTTAAATGTTTTTAAAAGTGTGATACATTAATAGATTTATACGAGATTTGAGTTTTATTGTTACATACAAATTTTAATGTTTTTTCTCAATATTTTTAAAGATTTTACATATCTATCTACAAAAATGTGTAATTATCACAGAGTGTTTGGTCCTGCCCTAATTAAGCCATTAAACGACATTTTCATTAATTAGAGTTGATTAGGGGGGGCTTTAATCAAGAAAAGCCTATTTTCTGCTGTAAGCATATCAATTTGTAATGTTGATTAATGTCAGATCACTGTGTTTTACCGGTTGATGACCTTAATGACCCTTTTATGTGTTGATGGGCCATTAAGACTGTAATAATAATAATGAATAAATTCATTTGAATGTCCTTAGATAAAGATAGGATTATTTTAAGGACTCTCCAAGTTGTATTTTATTAAAAAGAGATTTAAGATAAAACCTTGTATGTCTCTGTATACAACTTAATATTATAATTAAATTACATCTAAAAACTTCAAATTTAAATAATTCACATGTTGTGTTTTGGAACAGGGTGTATGTAATCTTTCAATGGACCACTTTATGTGGTACATTAAGCTAATACCGTCTATGCTACATGCAATATGTAGACAATATTATATCTATCTGCGCACAAATGTACATTTCTTTTTACTTTCGTTTAAAGATTTAAGTTTACTTTAAAATAGAAGATATCTCTGTCCTGTTTATTCTTTTCTTTTTTTGAATTTAATGATGTTTAAAATTATTTTAAATTTTGTTGACCTTGAATTATAATGAGACAAGATTTCTGTATGATTGATCTAAATATGGAGATGTTTTGAAATAAATTTAAACTGTTATTTAATTTGCTTTTAAGTAATCTGTTTTTAACATGGTTGTTGCTTAAAGTTTGTTTATATTTGGAAAATATCCATTCAATAATAAATGTTTGTCACCCAACTTTTTTGTGTTTTATGTTTATTAGCTGCCCCTCCCATATTGACAGATGGTGGGATTTAAAATTGCCTAACATACATGGTCTGTCTGTCAACAACTTCAGTTATTTCCTGTGATTTTTGAGACTGATCACCATAATAAAAGTGACTGAAAGGCTTCCATCTTAGATTTCGACAATGAATGTTTCCTATAGCCCTTTCTTTAGAAACGACAAATGGATCTTTTTCAATTTCTACTTGTAGGTTTCCCTTGTTGTCTAGTTGTGTTGGTTTGATTTAGAGACTGATTAAAAAAACAAAGAAGCTGAAAGGCAGCCATCTTGTACTTGTCAGCTGAGTGACAAAGACTGTATTTAACACTATATACAAGTCAGCCGAGTGACAGAGACTGTATTTAACACTAGATACAAGTCACACTGACTGTCAGCCGAGTGACAGAGACTGTATTTAACACTATATGCAAGTCACACTGACTGTCAGCCGAGTGACAGAGACTGTATTTAACACTATATGCAAGTCACACTGACTGCCAGCTGAGTGACAGAGACTGTATTTAACACTAGATACAAGTCACACTGACTGTCAGCCGAGTGACAGAGACTGTATTTAACACTATATGCAAGTCACACTGACTGTCAGCCGAGTGACAAAGACTGTATTTAACACTATATACAAGTCAGCCGAGTGACAGAGACTGTATTTAACACTAGATACAAGTCACACTGACTGTCAGCCGAGTGACAGAGACTGTATTTAACACTATATGCAAGTCACACTGACTGTCAGCCGAGTGACAGAGACTGTATTTAACACTATATGCAAGTCACACTGACTGCCAGCTGAGTGACAGAGACTGTATTTAACACTATATACAAGTCACACTGACCTGTCAGCTGAGTGACAAAGACTGTATTTAACACTATATGCAAGTCACACAGACCCGTCAGCTGAGTGACAAAGACTGTATTTAACACTAGATACAATTCTACAAAGTATACACACACATTCTGTCTGATCCAAAATATACACACACTCTGTCTGATCCAACATATACACACACACTCTGTCTGAGCCAACGTATACACACTGTCTGATCTAACGCATACACACACACTCTGTCTGATCCAACGTATACACACACTCTGTCTGAGCGAACGTATACACACACACTCGGTCTGATTCAACATATATTCACACACTCTGTCTGATCCAACATGTATACACACACTGTCTGATCAAACATATACACACACACTCTGTCTGATCCAACATATACACACACTCTGTCTGAGCCAACATATACACACACTCTGTCTGAGCCAACGTATACACACACACTCTGTCTGATCTAACGTATACACACACACTCTGTCTGATCCAACATATACACACACTCTGTCAGATCCAACATATACACACACACTCTGTCTGAGCCAACATATACACACTGTCTGATCTAACGCATACACACACACTCTGTCAGATCAAACATATACACACACTCTGTCAGATCCAACATATACACACACTCTCTGTCTGAGCCAACGTATACACACTGTCTGATCCAACATATACACACACACTCTGTCAGATCCAACATATACACACACATTCTGTCTGAGCCAACGTATACACACTGTCTGATCCAACATATACACACACTCTGTCAGATCCAACATATACACACACACTCTGTCTGAGCCAACGTATACACACTGTCTGATCCAACATATACACACACACTCTGTCAGATCCAACATATATACACACACTCTGTCTGATCCAACATATACACACACACCCTGTCAGATCCAACATATACACACACACTCTGTCAGATCCAACATATACACACACACTCTGTCAGATCCAACATATATACACACACTCTGTCAGATCCAACATATACACACACACTCTGTCAGATCCAACATATACACACATACTCTGTCTGAGCCAACGTATACACACTGTCTGATCTAACGCATACACACACACTCTGTCTGATCCAACGTATACACACACTCTGTCTGAGCGAACGTATACACACACACTCGGTCTGATCCAACATATATACACACACTCTGTCTGATCCAACATATACACACACTGTCTGATCCAACGTATACACACACACTCTGTCTGATCCAACGTATACACACACTCTGTCTGATCCAACAAATACACACACACTCTGTCTGATCCAACGTATACACACACTCTGTCTGATCCAACATATACACACACACTCTGTCTGATCCAACATATATACACACACTCTGTATGATCCAACATATACACACACACTCTGTGTGATCCAACATATACACACACACTCTGTCTGATCCAACATATACACACACTGTCTGATCCAACATATACACACACTGTCTGATCCAACGTATACACACACACTCTGTCTGATCCAACGTATACACACACTCTGTCTGATCCAACGTATACACACACACTCTGTCTGATCCAACGTATACATACACTCTGTCTGATCCAACGTATACACACACACTCTGTCTGATCCAACGTATACACACACTCTGTCTGAGCCAACGTATACACACACACTCTGTCTGATCCAACGTATACACACACACTCTGTCTGATCCAACGTATACACACACTCTGTCTGATCCAACGTATACACACACACTCTGTCTGATCCAACGTATACACACACTCTGTCTACAACTACTAAGCTGTAGCTATGTTACAAACAACAAAAGTTCTCATTAACAACATTTTTTTATCTTCATTTGAATATATTTTTTTCATATCAAGCTTAGAGATAACCCCACTGCTCCAAAAAACAAGATTTAAGAAGTAGATGGACATTGTCTGTAGACATTAGTTTGTCAAAATTTCTGAAAGTCTGGAGGAGATGGAGGGAACTCAGACTTGTTCTGAATATATATACATGTATTTATTGATTAAGGGGACATAACTGCAATATATCTTCTACCCTTTATTATTCAAAGCTAAAATCAATACATTTAACATGTTTAAAACAGTACTAAAATAAACTGATGCATTGTACATGATTAAATTTGTTAAACAAAGTAAAATCAAAGTATATTTGTGTAACTGAATTTCTTAAGTCTCAACTGTTTTACAAAAATCTCTGACTCACGATGAATAATATAACTGGATTTTTTTTACACAAAATGTATTTGAGCAGCCATAGGCAATTGTGTGTATTAAGCAGTCTGTACAGAGCTTGTTACCAAGGCCTGATTAGAGGGTATGTAGGAGTGAATCAGTATCGGCTGTACAGAGCTTGTTACCAAGGCCTGATTTGAGGTTATGTAGGAGTGAATCAGTATTGTCTGTACAGAGCTTGTTACCAAGGCCTGATTTGAGGGTTTGCAGGAGTGAATCAGTATTGTTTGTACAGAGCTAGTTGCCAAGGCCTGATTTGAGGGTTTGCATGAGTGAATCAGTATCGCCTGTATGGAGCTTGTTACCAGGGCCTGATTTGAGGGTATGCATGAGTGAATCAGTATTGCCTGTATGGAGCTTGTTACCAGGGCCTGATTTGAGGGTATGCATGAGTGAATCAGTATCGTCTGTATGGAGCTTGTTGCCAGGGCCGACTTGACCGGCCGTAGGGATTGGAGTGTGGTATTGGTTGTGTAGCTATCCTTTGTATGACCTGTTGACGGTGAATCTCCACCTGTAGGTTATGTTGCTGTAGAACTCGTTCTCTACGCTGCTGAAATGACACTGCTGCCACCATAGGCTGTGGCTGCATGTTAGGTAAGTTTCTAAAGTTTATATCTGGACTCCGTCCACTTTGCTGTGTGTTACCATGCCAAGTTGAAGATCTCTGTAGATTATGTGGTGACTGTTGGTTAACAGGCGGTCTCTTATCGTTCGAGTTTCCACCCGACATTTGACTGTTATAGGGAGCAGACTGAGCAGCACTTCCTCCATCATAAGTCGCACTACTCGAGGACCCTAGAAACAACAAAAAATTTGTTATACAATAACAATAAAAATTGAAATTTAGATGCTTAATTTTTAATGCAAATATAGTTTATACAAACAGAAAAAAAAAGATGAAAATGTATATGTATAATGTTGCAGTGCTACCAAGGAATTATTTTCAAATTTCATTGAATACATGAAACAAAATATTTTCCAAACAAATCAACACCTTTGCATGTAACATCAATATACAAACGAGACAGAGTGAATCTCCTTCCATGTTTAAATATTTCTAGTAAATTGAAAATTTTATTACAAATTTAATAAATCTTATATAAAATGGAAACAAATGGCCCAGTGGGCCTGCATCATTCACCTGGTATTCAATGTGTTAATATCACACCATTGCCATTCACAGTGGGCATACCCAATCAATCTAAACCAATTTCCGCAACAAAGAGCCTCTAATGAAAAAAGTTCTAATCTATCATTTGGTTTAATTGGTATTTCAAATGTCTTTATGATCTGAATGTAATTGTAGATATTTACCTGTTCTCATTTGTAAGTGTAGATATTTACCTGTTCTGGTTTGTAAGTGTAGATATTTACCTGTTCTCATTGATAAGTGTAGATATTTACCTGTTCTGGTTTGTAAGTGTAGATATTTACCTGTTCTGGTTTGTAAGTGTAGATATTTACCTGTTCTGGTTTGTAAGTGTAGATATTTACCTGTTCTCATTGATAAGTGTAGATATTTACCTGTTCTGGTTTGTAAGTGTAGATATTTACCTGTTCTGGTTTGTAAGTGTAGATATTTACCTGTTCTGGTTTGTAAGTGTAGATATTTACCTGTTCTCATTGATAAGTGTAGATATTTACCTGTTCTCATTGATAAGTGTAGATATTTACCTGTTCTCATTGATGAGTGTAGATATTTACCTGTTCTCATTGATGAGTGTAGATATCTACCTGTTCTCATTGATAAGAGTAGATATTTACCTGTTCTGGTTTGTAAGTGTAGATATTTACCTGTTCTGGTTTGTAAGTGTAGATATTTACCTGTTCTCATTGATAAGTGTAGATATTTACCTGTTCTGGTTTGTAAGTGTAGATATTTACCTGTTCTCATTGATAAGTGTATATATCTACCTGTTCTGGTTTGTAAGTGTAGATATTTACCTGTTCTGGTTTGTAAGTGTAGATATTTACCTGTTCTAATTGATAAGAGTAGATATTTACCTGTTCTGGTTTGTAAGTGTAGATATTTACCTGTTCTGGTTTGTAAGTGTAGATATTTACCTGTTCTGGTTTGTAAGTGTAGATATTTACCTGTTCTCATTGATAAGTGTAGATATCTACCTGTTCTCATTGATGAGTGTAGATATTTACCTGTTCTCATTGATAAGTGTAGATATCTACCTGTTCTCATTGATGAGTGTAGATATTTACCTGTTCTGGTTTGTAAGTGTAGATATTTACCTGTTCTGGTTTGTAAGTGTAGATATCTACCTGTTCTCATTGATGAGTGTAGATATTTACCTGTTCTCATTGATAAGTGTAGATATCTACCTGTTCTCATTGATAAGTGTAGATATTTACCTGTTCTCATTGATGAGTGTATATATCTACCTGTTCTCATTGATAAGTGTAGATATTTACCTGTTCTCATTGATAAGTGTAGATATCTACCAGTTCTCATTGATGAGTGTAGATATCTAGCTGTTCTCATTGATAAGTGTAGATATTTACCTGTTCTCATTGATGAGTGTAGATATTTACCTGTTCTCATTGATAAGTGTAGATATTTACCTGTTCTCATTGATGAGTGTATATATCTACCTGTTCTCATTGATAAGTGTAGATATTTACCTGTTCTCATTGATGAGTGTAGATATTTACCTGTTCTCATTGATGAGTGTAGATATTTACCTGTTCTCATTGATAAGTGTAGATATTTACCTGTTCTCATTGATAAGTGTAGATATTTACCTGTTCTCATTGATGAGTGTAGATATTTACCTGTTCTCATTGATGAGTGTATATATCTACCTGTTCTCATTGATGAGTGTATATATCTACCTGTTCTCATTGATAAGTGTAGATATTTACCTGTTCTCATTGATAAGTGTAGATATTTACCTGTTCTCATTGATAAGTGTAGATATTTACCTGTTCTCATTGATGAGTGTAGATATTTACCTGTTCTCATTGATAAGTGTAGATATTTACCTGTTCTCATTGATAAGTGTTGATATGTACCAGTTCTCATTGATGAGTGTAGATATCTACCTGTTCTCATTGATAAGTGTAGATATTTACCTGTTCTGGTCTGTAATTAAGTGTTGATATATACCTGTTCTCGTTTGTAGACGTAGGTTATTGCCGAAAAGCTCAATGCCATTCATCAGTTCTATGGTGTAGGGAACAGAACATTCATGTTTGAATGTAACAAAAGCATATCGTCTTGTTCTTCCATCCTTGTCTAAAGCTAATTTGACTTTTTCCAAAGGACCAGCCTGTAATATCAAACAGTTTCATATACACAGAGAAATCAATTTAACTGTAAACAGCACTTGAAAATTGCCTTTAACCTCAGTCATATAAGATTCACAAATGGACTTCAACAGTATACATACATGTAATTTTGAATATAAATTTGTGTATTCCTTTTCAGAAATCAGAAATTCAGTAATTACAATATAATCACATTTTGGGCATTCAGTAGACAGTAAATAACAATGTCTGAGTGTGCAGGGACATGTCTATTTCACATATATATTGACATTTCAGATTGGTGACTTGACTTCTGAAATTGTCAAATGTCAAGGGTCAATTAAGCACCCAGACAATACATAATCCATTAAGATGTAAGATCAGTATGTGCAGAAGAAAGACAATCCTAAGTTTGTTAGGATTTAACAATACCCTGAGGAGCCCTCAATTGGGAGTGTAACCAGTTGACAAAAATGAAGTCCCCCTTTAACTATTTTCAGATGTTTATGTTGTAGAAACTCCTTTTCCTTATGAAAAAAAATCATATTTCAAACATTTTTAAATGATTGCATTAATATGCCTTGTTTTTTTTAGTAATGAAAATCAATTTGAACTCTAAAGAATTAACTATTACATGTCTAACTGATACAATAATCTGTACACAGATAATACTGTCAAGATGTATTTGATCAGGATCTAGATGAAGCCATGACAGGAATCAGGCATTCATAATGCCTGCTTTTTCAGTAGTGTACAGTGTCCGATACCTAAGATCAAATCATGTGGTTATTTAGAATGGAACTAGTTACATGCAGTATTTACTGGTGGAGGGGAGAAGGGGCTTGTCTGATAATCACGAATTCCTCCAGTGTCTTCATCTATGTAAGCCCCTGTGGTGGGGTGAGCTCTTGTTGTCATGTTCTTTAAGTCAAAATCGATTACCCAAATCTACTCACAATCTACTCAAATCGTTTTCATCGAATTATATCAAATATTTGCTTACTGTTTTTGTTTGCTACCGAAAGTTTTTTTCAGATTAAACTCAAAACAAGCTAGGTAATAACTTAATATCCTAACATTGGAAGGGAGACAACCGCAAAAGAGAACTTCAATCTGATAAAACGTAGCTACAGTGTTTATCTAGAGTAGTAGGTGACAAATTTGGACAACCTGTCGTAGATTTGGGTAAAAGTTAGGTAGATTTGGCTAAGATTTTGGTAAATCAACGCGTCCTGTTCTTTACAGCGTTTCGACATATAAAAGGTTAAACTTGTGAAACAGGTGAAATGAAAAACAAACAGTGTATCTTGTTATTATTACAGATTTGCTGTTTATCATTCATGCTCCTACATATTGTGCAATAGCACTAGTTTAGATGACAATATTCTGGAGCAGTCTTAACTAAAATTTCCATCTGTTTTATCTACAAACGATACAGACTACAGTACTGAAAGAGAAAGTGAAATTGAGTGCTTGTGTTCTTCAGGCAGGTGATTCAATCATTTTGTATTACACTACAACATATAATTACAAACCTGTAAAAACAGTTCGTACAAAAGGGACTCAGTAACTTTTTCAGACAGGTTTCCAACCCATACTGTTCGGTCTTTTTCGTCCATTTTGATGCTGTGGTTGAGACTCTTACAAGCGTCTCTGTGATGGAGATCAAGGAGTTGGTAAAGTAATAGAACGTATGGAAGCTGTCAAATAATCCGGAATTACAAAAACCGCGTCGTTAGCTGTTTTCACAATCTGATTAAAATAAAATGAACGAAAAATGTTGAAGTGGTAAATTAAGATCTGTATTCTAATCAGATCGGCTGTTTACTAAGATTTATCATAACATTACATGTATTTGTTTGATTGAAACATATAGAATATTACAATTTAAACAGAAACAACGGAGGGATCTATGCACCTGTTATTTATATTAATATTTAACATGCAGCTACAGTTCTCAAATATTTGACGCATATTTTTTTTTTATTTTTGGAATACAAGTGATAATAAACTAAGAGTTTCGGACTATGATGCCGTGCGACACCACAAATTTTGTGTTGTGACATTTCACCTTTATATTTAGGGCGCGCGTAGTGGAACTCGGTTCACTTCAACTTCAAATACGATTAGGACACGTGGATACAGATATAAGTAAAAAGTTGTATTATGCATGTTTAAAATGATCATAAGTACATGTAGATAAAGTTCAAAGAGGTATATAAGTTCTCGAGGAAGAGACAAAGCCAATAAAAACACCAACTCGGGCAATACTTCAGTAATATTTTTAAATTCCTTTCTAGCCGCCTTTCGACCAGGATTTGGTTGTCAATCTACCCTGTTGAGATTAGCTGAGGATTGGCGAAAGGCCTTGGATAACCAGGAGTATGTCGCCGCCATACTCATGGATCTATCCAAGGCTTTTGACTGCCTTCCTCATGATCTACTGCTCAGAAAGCTTGAGGCTTATGGTCTGAGCTCTGGCTCAGTAGACCTGGTCTCTAGCTATTTGAGTGACAGAATTCAGCAGGTTAGGCTGGGTTCCAAATGCGGTGACTGGATGAAAGTGCTGAAAGGTGTCCCTAAAGGCTCAATCATGGGCACTTTACTTTTCAATATTTTCATTAATGATATGTTTTTATATGTCAAGTCATCCAACTTATATAATTACGCTGATGATAACACCATCAGTAACTCTAGCAAAGATCCCCTCACTCTAAAACAAGCTGTTGAAACAGACTGTTCAAACTTGGTTAAATGGTTTTACAAGAACCAAATGAGGGCAAATCCTGAAAAAAATTTCGGGCTCTATGAGTAGGTAAAAAAATCAATGGAGGCATTTGCAAATTTCAAAATAGATAATGTAACCATTTTACCTGAGAAAACTGTAAAATTGCTTGGTGTTTATTTTGATTCACTTTTAAATTTTGACTTTCATGTCTCGGAGCTATGTATAAAGGCCTCCAGATAATTGAATGTTCTGAAAAGAATTGGAACTTACTTAAATAAACAGGATAGAAAAGTTATATATAATTCTTTTATACTTTCAAATTTCCAATTCTGCCCATTAGTCTGGCATTTTACAAGTATGAAAAGTGTGCGAAAGATGGAAAAGATCCATGAGCGTGCTCAAAGATCTGTTGAAAGTGATTATGAGTCGTCTTTTATTCAGCTTTTAACAAACAGTAAAACTACTCTTTTAGACATCAAGAGACTTAAAGACATAGGCTGTGAAGTTTACAAAATTTTATACAAATTGTCCCTTGAATACATTCAAGATCTGGTGAAATTTAAAGAGTCTATTTATAATTTTAGGAAGGACTAAACAGTCACTGTGCCAAATGTAAAGTCTACCAAGTATGGACAGAAGTCGTTTAGTTTTGAGGCAGCACGGGTGTGGAACAGCCTTCCGAATGAATTATAGAAGTGTGAATACTACCCAGAATTCAGGAGGCTGATCCACACCTGGGATGGCCCGATATGTTCCTGTTCTATCTGTGCCAAAATGAAACCTTGATCTGCTTTCTGTGTGTGTTTGTCCTTTGGTCTCTGTTGCCAATGTTTATTTCTTACTGTTTGTTTCTATATATTTTTATGGACTAGGGACCTGGTTTGTGGGGACTTTACTGGCCCAATTTACCAGACCTCTGGGCCATTTTAATTTATAACCATTAGTGCTTTCATAACTTAAATATGCTGTGTCTTTATGTACATTTTAATCAATGGAAATAATGCAATTAACATCTCGAGTTGCTACTCTGTGCATGTTTTATGTCCCTACACGTATGTTTCACATTTTGTCTTTTCTCTTTTATATTGATATGTTTTGTCGTAATAATAGCTCATCTGAGCTAATGTTGACTTTGTTTATCATAGACGACACAAAATAAAGCTTATTGTATTGTATTGTAAACACGTCTGCACTCTTGGGAGTCCAACCTCTGTCTGCTAACACAAAGGAACACTACTCCCGAAGTCAACTTTCATACCAGTGGCCACTTGACTTACACACTCTAAAACCCATTACAAAACATTACAAAACACAATTTAAGTCCACTCGTCACACACATTCGACCCACAAAGGACGACTCGTCACACAGGTACACGGACCGGCTGTACAGGTGACGTGGCTAAAAATAGATCACCTACCTGGACAACGGCACAAGTACAGTCACTGCAATCAGCATTCACTCACGCATGAATGCTCGTTCATCATTCACACAACATAATGATAAGTTCGTGACACTACTATGTTTTAAAACAATGAAAAGCGTTGTTGAAATTATTATTTTTTATAGATAAGTGACTGCGATTGATGAGATAATTAGTGAACTATTATAAAATGAACTAGAAATATTCAAAATTATATGAATTATTTCTAAAAACGAACAGAATATGGGAGGCGTTCCATTTTGGATATCCCTACCTGTGCTGAACCTGACATGCCTCACCGCATTCTATTTAAAGTCACGTGCGATGCTGATATGTAACCAAAGCAAATGAAAACTGATAGTATTTTTTGTGAAATACCAAGAAAAAATACGAGATTCTAACACTTGGTAGAATTATTTTACAACTTTCTTCAACAAATGTTCTAATATGGGTAGCGTCACGTTATATGCTTTTATTGGTTTCCGTCCCTCCTCTTCTTTCAGACAAAATGACTTCATCATATCTATTTTGAACTATCTCTTTACCTAAAATTGTTAAAATTAGAACAAACTCTTAAAATAATCCGGTATAAAGTTCTAGCTCATAAACAACTGCTAACTATGTATCTCTGTATATATCCCGTCAATTTTATTCGTGATATGAATAATGTTGTCAGAAAAATCTACTTCGAACCCTTGGGTTGTAAGTTGAGTTGATATTTTAATATTGGGTCAATAATGGGAATATATTGGACCGACATCAGTGTAAAATAGGTCCAATATTGGAGAAATGTTTGTTCAAAGTTAGGTCATTACTGTACCATTTAAAATCTGTGATGTGCCGATGTTAGCACGACGTTGTTCCAACACGCTGTGCCGATTTGCCAACATTCCGACGTTAAGCCGATGTAGACGGCGATGCTAAACCAGCGGTGGGCCAAGGTAGTAGTGTTGTCTGGAATATAATGCAGTCTTTTACAAGTCACTGATTTAGGAACGAAAACGTGTGAGAAAAGAAAATTTGAACGAAAAAATAAAGACTAGCACTTTTCAAGTGGCGTTGGTTGATTTTGAAACTTATACTTTGTACTCCTGAAAGGGAAACTTCGTATTGGCGATAAATTAACTTAGGTGTTGGTTTTCAATGGCTGCTTTTATAGATATAAAGTAAATAAAATAGTGACGTCATCATCATCTTCGTCGTCGACGTCGACCTCCTCGACCTCCTCCAACTCGTCGTCGTCCTCCTCCTATGAGAAGGTGGTTGAGGAGGAGATGTAATTTATAATTTTACAGGGTTGGAATGCATTTTGCATGCCAGTGAAATTTTCACAATTGGGCGAACTGAGAGGACTGTCACTTATATTTAATCAGTATTTAACAAACATGAATTTAACAGATGGAGACTAAAAAGAACTGTGGTAGTTGAATGAGTTCCACCCTTGATTAAACAAACTCCACCCAAACAAATGTCTACTCAAATTAAATCAAAAGTGACAAGTGTAATTGAATTATAGTTATGATATACTTTTTACCGCCCACATTTTACTGAAAATACAACCCTGGTCCACATTACCGTTTCTATTATAAACCTTTCGAATTTTGCTTAGTACATGTATTATGGACTCAGTGTCAGCGAATTACCAGTACAACGTATGTGTTATTCATTCATTTGTGGATAATGTTGTAGATTTGTCAAATTTCTACTCCTTTGACCGATAGAAAAATGTCTCATTTATGAACGAACGGTATTCCAGTGCACTACTTTATTAAGATATACTATCAGATACATAAAAATCCTCCCCAACTAAATGAGGGTTACCTCCCCTAGACCAACAATTTGCTACTACAATGTTGAATTTGATGAATGACGGGAAGTTACTGACGATTTGACCGGTTAGTTACCTTTTGAAATTACAATGTAGTAGAACACATGTTACCATAAAAGTGAAAATATCTTTTTCGTGTCTTTTTTTTTTCGGGCAATTACGGTGGTATATGATCGCCATTTCGTTCAGAACATATTTTGTTAATCACGCACGATCCTAAATTGTTGGATCGAAATTACACAGTTATTTAGCGGACATCCATTAAATATTTAATCTATTAGAAACCATCTGAAGGCTTTGAAGAATCCAATCTAGTACTAGTCTAGAAGGCGTTGTTATCAATGCCGTTCAATGCCCTGTTTTAATGCTCTCTTATGATAACGGTAGTGTAATTTGAAGGAAGGTTAAACGACAGATTTAAATACGAATCATTAACGTGTAATATCACGTGGATCACACGACAAGTGGCTGTGTCCTTGAGTAAGTAATTTCATCTTGACAGGTCTGGATGGCATGTGACGGTCCTCCCGTATGTTGTTCAGTTAGGTAGCCACCAGCTACTACAAGGAGGCCCCGCCCCAAAAAAGGTCATGTCTGTTCGCGGGATGGTGAACTCAACACACGAAGAAACGCCATGAATAAGCAATGA